CATACCAGTAAAGAACACAATGAAGCACTTAAAGGGAGTAATATTCCTTGTATAATAGAAGCTGGGTTACAGTTGAGGAAAAGATTTATTTCTTTTCTTTTTTCTTTGTAAATTAAAAAAGAAAAAGTGGGGTGGGAGACCCCCACATCTCCTTTTACATTCTACAATGAATCTCATACCCTGCTATTGTCCAAGTGCTATGCTAAAGTGGTACCACTACCACTAAGGCATGGTTTCTATTTATTCCTCTTCATATTCCTTACTAGAGAAGCATATTTGCTGGCTCCAGTAAACTAATAGGCTGATTGCTGTACTGCAGGTTTTTTGTTTTTTGGGGTGGTTGTTTCTTTTTTTTGAGACTTCTGCCTGGTTTACATCAGGCAGCTGATGGACCTTGGAATCCATCTACAGTAGCATTCCAGTGGGGGTGAAGCAGCATGTTACATACAGTGCGGGCCTCGAGAGAGTCCCTGCAAGCCAAACAGTGGGTGTCACTGATTCTTAGTGAAGTGCCTTTTGATGTTGAAGTAACGCCAATGTGTTATTCATTAGTGTGACTGTAAAATCTAAATATTATTAACAATTTCCCATTTGCAAAGGTCCTGGTACTGAAAGATGAAATACTCTTTCAACTCCCATTGGACTCCATCATTGGCACACCCATGTACCCTGTAAATTAGGAAGCAAACCATGGAGAAATGTATTGAAAAGGAGGATGAAATTAAATTCCCTGTCTAAGATTTCACTGAACATTTTTAAAACTGGGACAGCTATTTTAGCAAGCAAGGAGAATTTCTCTTTCCCCCCTATATTAACAATGAGCAAGATTGATACTTGGGAAGCTACAGTAGAGTATGGATAGTGCATAGGATCAGTCTTTGAGTTTTTGCCCAGTGGTGTTCTGAAGGATCATATTCATTAACCTGGTTCTATGCCTTACTGGACTTAAATGAAATAGTGGCCAATTAGAGGACTTCCCCTTGAAATCTTATTTTGAATAACTCCTCTGTTTTCTCCTGATTCATCCCAGTCTTTGAATACACTCAGCTCAGGAGTTGAGAGAAGTTCCAAGTGCAAAAGGAATATTTATTTTAAAATCCCAATACACTGTTTCTCCTTTCACAGATCTCATTTTGAACTACATAAATCAAGTGAGGGGACATGAAAGTAGAACAGAAGTGCTATGTAGCGAACTGGGGATTTGTTTTGGAATGAAACCAAAGACAATTTTTAAAAACTAAACTAGCCTTTCATCTCTTGTAGTTTGGTTACATACTGATTATCGCTTGGCGAATGGGAAAGGTGGTGGTATCTGTATGTGATTTCCGGGGATGGGTGGGGTGGCAACAGCCACTGTGGGCCCCTGGGCAAGAAGTGGAGGGGTTCTGTTCTCCCCAGAAGATGTGGGGCCTTGGGTAGGGCAGGGAGCAACCAGCCCTCAGCGCTGCCCAGAGAGTGGCATGCTATGGCCCCTCCCTTAGAGACACCGAGAACACATCATGCAGGGTTTGGGTGGTGATTTAAAGGGCTCAGGGCTTTGGCTGCTAGCGCTGCTGCAGTAGCAGTGGGAGGAGCCCTAGGCCCCTTTGAATCACCGGGCCTCCAAGCAGTTTCCTTCTTTTCACTTTCCCTGTCAGTTGGACTAGTGATTTCTTCAGCTTGTATTAATATCACTTTGTAATTGTTTTTACAAAATTGCTTCTGTAAACTCCAACACAGAATAGCAACAACTTTATGCTAAGCATCAAAACCCTCATGGTTGTGTTTATTTTTTAATCAGCTTTTAATGCTGTGCTTTTCTTCTGTTACACAGAAAAAAGAAAGGCTAACCTTTTGGACCAACTTACCAATACCAGTGGGACTATAATTGGGGTGACCTCTTGCATTGTGATCATCCTCATTATTATCTCTGTTGTAGTACAGATCAAACAACCTCGTAAAAAATTTGTCCAAAGGAAAACAGACTTTGATCAAACAGTATTCCAAGAGGTGTTTGAGCCTCCTCATTATGAGTTATGTACTCTTAGAGGGACAGGGGCTGCAGCTGACCTTGCAGATGTTGCAGATGACTTTGAAAATTATCATAAACTGCGGAGATCATCTTCAAAATGCATTCATGACCATCACTGTGGATCACAACTGTCTAGCACTAAGGGCAGCCGTAGTAACCTCAGCACAAGAGATGCTTCTATCTTGACAGAAATACAACCCCAGCCTGTAAAGCCCCTCATCCAGCCCACGAACAGGAGAAATATCCTTGTCATGAAGCATAGCTACTCACAAGATGCTGCAGATGCGTGTGAGATAGATGAAATTGAAGAGGTACCAACTACAAGTCACAGGCTGTCAAGACATGATAAAGCTGTCCAGCGGTCAGTATCAATAGATTTTTGATGAAGACTATTGCATAAGGACTTGATTGCCCCTAAAATATTATTTTGATCATTTTTTCTTTATGCATTTTAAATAGATTACGACATTATATTTTCTCCTGTGTTTTTTTCCTTTCTCCTCTTTCTTCGATCCACCTTCTCCTTTCCTGAAGCGCCTCACCCCTGTTTGTTCATTTGTTCTTTCATTCTTTTACTTACACACACACACACACACACACACACACACACACACACACACACACCCTCAGTTAGGGTTGGGTACAATTTTTACTAAGCCAAAGAATTTTTTTTATATAAAATCTAATTTTTTGAAAGAACTACATGCATGTGGTTTCCTTACAGCTGTCAGGTGGTCTTGAATGGTGTCCATAATCCATGATCAGAGTAATTGGTAAAAACAATCTGTAGATCTATTTTGGTGCATGATAGACCAATGCAAAACACTTGAGAGATAAGGAAACACTCGTTCTTATGAAATACTATTTTCTAAAAAGTGAATAACAATATTTTCATAATATTACAATATTCTGTGATTAGCCATGATATCACTGTTTGTCATATTAATCTCTCTATCTCACACTTAGAATGAGACATTTCAGTGCTTATAGAATATTCTTATATATTTACATATAAAAATGTTGAAAAGAGTCTAGTCAATGAAAAAAATAAAGTCTGGCATTTTTTAAATACAGAAACTATTTTTTTTTACTGTGTATTGCATCTTGAATGCCTGTAAATAAGTATGATTAAAAGTTTGCCAGTAAAAAAGAAAAACAAACACTTATGAATGACTTATTTGGAAAAGAGCACTCAGAAACATTTTATATGTATTTGTGTTTTGCCTTGCATACATTATTTTTGTGCTTTTGTGTTTTACATGCCCTATGTGTATTTATTTTTTGCACATTTAAGCTAAGTCTCTTAAAATTCTGCAGTTATTTTAATCTAGTTGCATGCCATTGTAAATGACTTGGTACTGTTGGTACAATTTGATCAAACTATTGAGATATATCCTTTTTATTAAGTGTATATATGCATATATTTCTTTTTTTTCTATGCAAACATTATTATGTTGAATGAAATAGCCATAACATTCCAGGTTCTGCCTCATTGGGTCTCTAAGCAAACATGAGTCTGAGTACAACACTACTAGGGTCTAAAAGGCAAACTCAAGGTAAGTCAACATACATGACTGTCACATGAATCATCTGTTACATTCCATTATATATTGTTTCAAACATTTTCAAATAAAAGTTTTCAAGGCATAGGTTAGCTAGCTAAAAACTTTGCCATAGAGAGTGTCAGTTTTATAGAGATAATTGAAAATTGCAGCTGATTGTTTTAATATGAACATAACATTTCTATTAAAATTATTATACTTGATAGCTTTGTAAAATCTCACTGTTAAAAATGATCTGCATTTTAAGCACAGTATAAAGACAGATGCTTTGCATGGATGTTTCATTTTTCATTTATGACAAATGTATTTTAAAAGTCCTATCATGTTATACAGAATGTAAAGCCTGGCAGCCTAGCTAGTTTTAGATATCAAGAAATGAAGCTATCTGTTCTCAGTTCACTTGAGTCATTCAACAGTGTTGTGTGTGACAAGGCAGAATTCTGTTAGGTTTGGGAATCAGTAGTGTCATTTTAATATTTATCATTTACAAGTCATTTTACTTGTCATTTACTAGGTTATACATTTGCATTTAATTTGTTACTACCACCATTTATTTGAATAAATATCATCTCAACTTTCATAATGAAGTTCTAGCTAGATCAAAGGCTATGCATATATGTCTTATATATAATTGTTATCCATATGTTTTATAAGTGTATATATCTGTTTTGTAGGGAGAAAATGCATTAACACTTTAGTTTTATATAGTTATGTAAACATACTTGTCTACCTATATTTTCCTTTACAGGGAACAATATTTTAATTGTGTTTTGTTTTCAGAGAAGAACTATTTACACAAACATGGGGACTGTGAAAGGAAAAATCTATAGTGAAATATTTCAACTGACTGGGGAAAAAGTGGATATATTTCTAAATTCATTCCACTGCCTTTATCCAAACCTAAGAGTGACAGACATTTCTTACTTCCTCAGCAAGATAGTCCCATTGCACAATAACATGTTTCTTTTCTAATTTGGTTGCTGGCCACCAAGTGCTCCTTAGTTTTTAAATACATTTTGAGATTTACTGGAAACTTGAAGAAGAAATTAGTTCCTGGATGAAACTATCCTAGCTTTATTTTTTATGTTAGTGTTATTTCAGTGGATATGTTGTATGTCTTTATCAGCTTGTCTATTGTGTGATATGTAAAAGAAGATGATTTTACATTGAACTTTTGTTATATGTACATTGTTTTCATTATATAGACTGCTTGAGAATAGTTCGCTCCTGAGTGATTTTGAACATGCTCCAATGAAATGTGAAAGTATGGACCATGGAAACACCAGCTAGAGGTTTTATGGACTCTGATCATCTGTTCTCATACCATGATAAAGTTCAGCAAACTGAATTGAGTAAAATTACTAGATGGCAATAAGATTCTAATTGTTATCATTACTGACCATTTTTCTTTTTTCCTCTCCTACCCCTTTTTAAAATTTGGTTACAAAGTAAGAGACCCAGTTTCAGGTACAATTTATTTACATGAGTTATTTAGCCATTCATAATAATTTCAATAGAAATGTTTGTTTGGAAATGCATCTAGCAAAATGACTGAAATTGACCACTGAGAAAATTAATCTGCATGTATGTTACGGAATATTTGAGTTGAGAAAAATCCCTTTTATTACATACATTGTAAAAAGCATGCATTCACAATTACTGCTGTTACTGTTCTATTTTTTGTGTCATATGCTTGCTACTTGTAACTTTTTATATAAAGATACATAAAACAATGTATAATAATTTTTACCTTGAGTTTTAAAATAATGTTTTCATTTAGTGAAACAAAACAACCTTACACAGAAATTTACCAAATCTTTCTACAAGGTTATACTCAATATTCAGCTATCTGGAACTGAATATCTAATCTAACTAAACAAATATCTGTGTCACCCTCTTCCACCAACATTTCACCCTTTATAATATATTAAAAGGGTGTTATATACATGGATTATTAAATATAATATTTACATATGATATAGTTTATTGAAATAAATATTTTCATAAGTAACTAATAATGAAATGAAACATTTTGACATTGCTGAAACAATGTTTCAATTATTTCCCTTAAAAATTTGTCAAAATCAACACGTCCTCATAAAAAGCTTAGATTTTTGACAAAAATTCTGTCTCAAACATTTCAATCACTTCTACATACAGCATTCACAAGTACGACACAAACAGCAGCAGTGAAGAATCACCTATACTTGTCTATTAATACTTTAAAAGGTGCTAAGTGAAGGTTAGAATTATTTGTGAACTTGAAACTTGTTCCGTGTGAACTTGACTAAGGGCTGGACTATATTAATAAAGTTGCATCTGTATGACTAAATAGATCTCTAACTGATCTAATTGAAGTGGTGTAAAACCCTAATCTAGATGCATTTAACCTAGTTTCAACTTCACGGTAAATTAGTTTGTTTAACTCTAGCTCTCAGAGGACATGTCCTCATTACCTGCCAGATCAACTGGCAGTAATCAATCTAGCAGGGGTCAATGTTTTGCCTCTAGTATAGACACGATAAATCAACAGCTGAACATTTTCCCTTTGACTGCAGTACTCCACCAGAATGAGAAGCCTAGATGGGGTTGATAGGAGAACATCAGCTGTCAGCTTACCACAGTGAAGATACTGTGATAACTAGTTTTGAGTTTGTTTACTTCAGCTACATTTTTCATATGGATGAAGTCGTGTGACTTAACTGCCCATGGTAGTGTAAAGTAGGCCTGATATAACTTATACTGACATAAACAAGGGTTAAACAAATTTTTTGTTTTTACATTTTAGGTTTGATCTAGTTTTTACTACATCAATTTAGTTAACTCGGTACAGTTTTTCTAATATAAACATGATCTCAGCTAATCTTGCTTATTTTTCATGGAGTTTTTTGTACCAAGTGGAATTTCAGTAATGTTGAGGGTATTTTATTTTGGTTTGGTTTGCTATGGGGCATTGTACTTTTCCTTTTAGGTGGCAGTGTCAATCAGTCACCCCTTTTAATGCATTTCTCCAGCCCACAGAATGTGTCCATAGAATCTCAGCTCTCATTAAAATAAAGGAAGTCACTAATAAAGAAGGAAGTTTCTAGGGCTCATGGTTGCAATGAAGGCAATCCAAGGAGAAGCAAGGTGTAAATGAAGTCCATCTGATTCCCTTTTCCTTGAAATGCTTAACAATAGCTCTGAGAACTATAACTGTCCCAGACTCCATGAATATCGTTGGGGTGTTATCTCTACAGCCAAACAGTGATGTGTTAAATTACAAATAATTATTTCAGGGCCAAATATTGTAGTGGCTGGAACAGATATCAAGTTGAGTTGGGGGGAGTTCAGAAAAGAAAATATGGAGAGAGGTAAAGTGGAGAGATGGGGAACATACAGAAGGACAATGGAGGGAAGGGTAGTCTGGGTAACTACAGCAGGTTTTTGGAGAGACCTGCATAAGTGTCACTCACTTCCTAACACAAGCAGATGAACACACTAGTAACTGTCTAAAGTTGTTGTTCAACACAGAAAGAAATACAACGTTCTGAACATTTCAAAACTGTGTCTAGGTCGTCTTCTGTTGTGCTTTGCAGAATCACTACCTTGCAAACAAGAATTGGGTCTTCAGTTTTTTTGTTTTCTTGTCCTTCTTTACATTGTAGGTCCCTGTTGACACCCCAGAACTTCCCAGCTAAAGTAGCAAAAAATCAAGAGTTTTCTGTGTTATCAAGGATCTTATAAAAATGTACAGTACAGAATTTTGTACTTCAAAAGTTCCCATCGGACTTCTACTCAAGTCATTCTCCTCACCTTCACTTCCTCAGACATCCTACAAATTGGGATCAGCTTTCCTACTTACTCTCCACTGCTCACAGAATTCCCTTTCTGATCGTTGCCTTGTCGTCGTCAGCATAACTTACATGCACGTTTTCTCCTCTTGCTACCCCATCATTCATGTCTTTGCTATCTTGTATCTTGTCTGCTGCTACCTCCTTCCATCTTGATTCTCAGATGCAGTTTTGTTCCTCTCATGTCACTTCAGAATTCTGCTGCTTAACCTTACCCTGTGTATAAACTGCAATGCAATACCAAGTTGTTGGCCTGGCCTTATCTTCATCAGTGATGCCAGTCTTCATCATCCATTAGATCAATATTTCCACAAGTTCCTTCGTGTTTTCTCCTATGCTGAATTTTGCAATTGGCAGTAGCTCCCCATAAAAATCTGCAAAGCCACTACTGGAACCTCTTTCACAGGCTTTCTTAAAACTTGCCTCCAATGGGAAGCCACAGAACAATTGACCATGACTAGGGAATGGACATACTGTTAGTGCTATTTAACTATGATATTGTCATGCTTAGTACAATAATTTGGCCCTATTTTTGGACTGTTTGTTTCCATCTCTTGATTCTCATTATAGCTTTACAGAGTAAGTCCTTTAAGTCTGGGAATGTCTTTTTAACTGTATGAACTGTGTCTACCAGTTTGTGACTGGGGCCCACAGAGGCTACTACAATATATAATAAATGTAAACCCATTTGTTAACCCACTTTCCATTTGAGGTTATTGAGAAAAGGAGTTGCCATATCCGACAGCAGTCCTGGGTCTGTAGCGGGGGAAGCTGAAACTGCTTAACCCAAATCAGCACCGTGCTTGAGGGGGTGGATGAGAAGCAAGGGAGTCAACTTCTAGTAGCAGGAGGAGAGGCAGCTTCTGACACACCCTCCCCCAATTTTTTCTCTGCAGCCTAGGAGAGGGAACCTTTCTACATACCCCCTTTTGTTCCTAAGCAAGAGGAGTCCAGCTAACGTGAAGTGCTCAACTTCATTAGGAATGAGCCTTCTTAACAAGTTGGTCCTCAAAATTTCAGTTGCCAAAGACAGAGTAGCCAACTCCCTCCCTTCCCATGTCCAAGAAATCATTGGCAACAAATTAGAACCAGCAGCTTCCCAGGAAAGTCAGCCTGCCCAAACCTGGGCAAGAGAGAGGCAGACTTCTCTAGTTGGAGGGAGATTGCCAGTCTCACCCATTAGGCCTCCCTTGTGCCAGAAGTCAAACCACGCAAGGGTCTGCTTTGCTCCAGAGATTGGGACATTACAACTGTACGTACTGCCTTGGCAACACTTAGGTAGCTAAGAAAATATCTGAGGTAAGTGAAAAGATCTGGTCAGCATGTGCACAGTCACCTAAAGGCTTGGATGTAGTTGAAGCCCCAGGGGTACTGGAACAATTTGTTCAGTGGAGGTACTGAGAGCCATTGAACAAAACTGCAAACCTGAAATATGATGGAAATCTCTTTAAGCCAGGGGGATGTGGCAGTACCCGGTGCCGGCACCTATAACCAGCTGTCCCACACACGCTGGCAATGTCCCTGTCTGCAACACTTGTTCAAATGTATTGTTCAACAGTCAGACCTATTAAGCTCCAACACAAGGGACAGTGAATATGAATGACAGGTGAAAGAAGGGAAACCGTTTCCTGTCTCTGCTGTGCATCATTGCTTATGTCGTCTGTTAGGATATGAATGAAAAGCAGCAGTATTGTTGCTGCTGTTACAGTGGAAACTTTGTTTCCTTAAGAGAAGAATCTGGATCAAAAACATCACCTTGTCTGTTCCTTCCAATTTTTGCTCCAGCCTCTACATTCTACTGTGTAAATGAAGAACAATCTAACAGCAGCATCTTCACACAAACACAAACAAAAACCTCCAAAGCACTTGCAAACCATGACAGCCTGTAAAAGAGTATAGGTAGTCCCTCCCCAAACCCTCACTTTCTGGTCTGGCAACATCTGTGGTCTAATCGTGGATGTTCCTTTATCAGAGAGCCCGGGGAGCCTAGTGACAGGAGAGCCAGCAGTGTAGGCTGGGGTCTGAGCCCTCAGCAGCACAGGGCCAAGGTCAGAACCCCCGGAGTTCAGGGCCAAGGCTGGGCTGGGCTGGAGCCAGAGCCCGTGGCAGCCTGATTAGGGCTGGTGGCAGCCTAGCAGCAGCCCAACTGGGGCTTGCCATGGGGGTAGGTGTAGTTTGACAGCAGGGGAGGTAGTAGAGACATGAGCACTGAATGGCAACAGCCTGGGGATCTGGTGGCAGGGGTTTTGCCCTGTTCTGGAAAATTTCCTCATTTGGGACCAGTCAGTTCTAGCAGCTGAAACTCAGTTCATCAGATGCATGAAATGAAAGACAACGAAACAGATGATAGGGGTATGGAGATGGGAGTGTTACATGACAGCTAATCCAATCAGGGTATATATGGATAAGAAGGTGAGACTAGCTAACGTGGAAAATTACTTATGGTAATGAGAGAACCATTCCAAGATCCTATTCAGACCCATTCTGATGGTGTCAAATTTACATATAAGTTCCTGCTCACCAGTTTCACAGTTTTTAAGTTGCTGGGGGGGTTGTTTGTGTTTTGTTTGTTTATTTTGGGTTTTTCCTAGAGGATTCAAACTTTCAAGTCTGTAACTGTGTGTCCAGAGAGGTTAAAATGTTCTCCCACTGATTGTTATATGTTATCATTCTTGATTTCTGATTTGAGTCCACTTATTCTCTTGTGTAGAAACAGTCCAGTTTATCCTGTGTCTATGGCAGAGGGGCATTGCTGCTACCTGATGGCATATATCACATTAGTAGATGCACAGGTGAATGAGCCTTTGATGGTATAGCTGATATGGTTAGGTCCTGTGATGATGTCACTAGGGTAGATTTATTGACAGAGTTGGTAACAGTGTATTGTAGGGATTGGTTCCTGGGTTAGTGTTTCTGTTGGGAGGGGGTCTGGTTGGTAGTTGAGTATATCTCAGGTGGGAGAATGTCTGTAAGTGAGGATTGGAATGCCTCCCAAACTCTTTAAGAGCAATGGATTGTCATCTAGAATATGTTGTAGATCCTTGATGGTTTTTCTTAAGAAT